AGAGGGCAAGAGAAGATGAAAAGAGCAGAGAAGAGCTACTGAAACACCCAGAAACAAAAAGTAACAAAATGGCATAAATACATATTTATCAATGGCTACTTTAAATGTCAATGCACTAAATGCTCCAATCAAAAGGTATAGGGTGGCCAATGGGATAAAGAAAACAAGACCCTTATATATGCTGCATACAAGAGACACACTTCAGACTTAAAGATACTAACAAACTAAAAAGTAAAAGGATGGAAAAAGATACTCCATGCAATTGGCAAAGAAGAGAAAGCAGGGGTAGCAATACTTATATCAGACAAAATCGACTTTAAAACAAAAACTGTAACAAGAGACAAAGAAGGCACTACATAATGATAAAGGGAACAATCCAACAAGAGTATATAACACTTGTAAATATCTATGCATCCAACATAGGAACACCTAAGTATACAGAGCAGTTATTAACAGACATAAAAGGAGAAATAGACAGTAACACAATAATAGTAGGGGACTTTAACACTCCACTTACACCAATGGATATATCATCCAAACAGAAGTTCAATAAGGAAACATTGGCCTTAAACAACACATTAGACCAGATGGACTTAGTAGATATACATAGAACATTCCATTCAAAAACTCCAAAATACACATTCTCTTCAAATGCACATGGAACGTTCTCCAGGATTGATCACATATTAGGCCACAAGTCTCAATAAATTTAAGAAGATCGAAATAATACCATACATCTTTTCTGACCACAAAGCTATGAAACTAGAAATCAACTACAGGAAGAAAATCAGAAAAGCCACAAAAATGTGGAGATTAAACAATGATTAGGTCAATAAGAAATCAAAAGGAAAATCAAAAAATACCTGGAGACAAATGAAAATGAAAATATGACATGCCAAAATCTATGGATACAGCAAAAGCAGTTCTAAGAGGGAATTTTGTAGCAATTCAGGCCTACCTCAACACAGAAGAAAAATCCCAAATAAACAATCTAACAGTGCACCTAAAGGAACTGGAAAAAGAAGAACAAACAAAGCCCCAAATCAGCAGAAGGAAGGAAATAATAAAAATCAAAGCAGAAATAAATGAAATAGAGACCACAAAAAAAAAATAGAAAAAATTAATGAAACCAAGAGCTGGTTCTTTGAAAAGATAAACAAAATTGACAAACCTTTAGCTAGACTTGCCAAGAAAAAAAGAAAGAAAGCTCAAATAAATAAAATCAGAAATGAAAGAGGAGGAATTACAACAGATACCTCAGAAATACAAAAGATTATAAGAGAACACTATGAAGCTACACGCCAACAAATTGGATAACCTAGAAGAAGTACATAAATTCTTAGAATCATACAACCTTCCAAAACTGGACAAGAAGAAGTAGAGAATACGAATAGAGAAATCACCAGTAAGGAGATCAAAGCAGTAACCAAAAACCTCCCAAAAAATAAAAGTCCAGGACCAGATGGCTTCCCTGGTGAATTCTACTAAACATTCAAAGAAGACTTAATATCTACCTTTCTCAAACTCTTCCAAAAAATTTAAGAGGAGGGGAAGCTTCCTAACTCATTCTACAAAGCCGACATTATTCTGATACCTATCCAGACAAGGACAACACAAAAAAGAAAACTACAGGCCAATATCACTGCTGAACATCAATGCAAATATCCTCAACAAAATATTATCAAAATGAATATAACACATTAAAAAGATCATACATCACGATCAAGTGGGTTTTATTCCAGGAATATAGGGATGGTTCAACATCCACAAATCAATCAACATGATACACCACATTAACAGAATGAAGAATAAAAATCGCATGAACATCTCAATAGATGCAGAGAAAGCATTTCACAACATAAAGCATCCATTTATGAGAAAAACTCTAAATAAATTGGGTATAGAAGGAAAATACCTCAACATAATAAAGGCCATCTATGACAAACCCACAGCTAATATCATTCTCAATGGAGAAAAACTGAAAGCTATCTCTCTAGGAACAGGAACCAGACAAGGATGCCCACTTTCACCACTCTAAGTTAACATAGTATTGGAAGTCTCGGCCAGAGCAATCAGTCAAGAAAAGGAAATAAAAGGGATCCATACTGGAAAGGAAGAAGTGAAACTGTCACTGTTTGCAGATGAGATGGTTTTATATATAGAAAAGTCTATAGAATCCACTAAAAACTTTTAGAAATAATAAATGAATATGGTAAAGTTGCAGGATACAAAATCAACATACAAATCAGTTTCATTTCTATACACTAACAACGAAGTAGCAGAAAGACAAATTAAGAATACAATCTCATTTATAATTACAACAAAAAGAATAAAATACCTGCGAATAAACTTAACCAAAGAGGTGAAAGATCTGTACACTGAAACTATAAAACATTGTTGAAAGAAATGGAAGACGCAAGGAAATGAAAAGATATTCCATGCTCTTGGATTGGAAGAATTAACATATTTAAAATGTCCATACTTCCTACAGCAATCTACAGAGTCAATACAATCCTTATCAAAGTTCCAACCACACTTTCACAGAAATAGAACAAAGAATCCCAAAATTTATGTGGAACAACAAAAGACCCCAAATACCCAAAGGAATCCTGAGGAAAAAGAACAAAGCTGGAGGTATGACACTCCCTGATTTCAAAATACACTACAAAACTATAGTGACCAAAACAGCATGGTACTGGCAAAAAAACAGATCAACGGAACAGAATTGAGAGCCCAGAAATAAACTCACACATCTTTTGACCGCTAATTTTGAACAAGGGAGCCAATAACATGCAATGGAGAAAGGAGAGTCTCTTCAATAAACGGTGTTGGAAAAATGGGACAGCCACATTCAAAAGAATGAAAGTAGACCATTATCTTATACCATACACAAAAATTAACTCAAAATGGATTAAAGACTTGAATGTAAGACCTGGAACCATTAAACTTCTAGAAGAAAACAGGTGCAGTGCGCTCTTTGACATCGGTCTTAGTAGCATATTTTCAAGTACTATGTCTGACCAGGAAAGGGAAACAAAGAAAAAATAAACACGTGATTACGTGAAACTAAAAAGCTTCTGCACAGCAAAGGAAATCATCAACAAAACGAAAAGACACCATAACAACTGGGAGAAGATATTTTCAAACCATATACCTGATAAGGGGTTAATACCTAAATATATAAAGAATTCATGCATCTCAACACAAAAAAAACTAACACCCCAATTAAAAAATGGGTAGAAGATCTGAACGGACATTTCTCCAAAAAAGATATATGGATGGCCAACAGGCACATCAAGAGATGTTTAACATCACTAATTATCAGGGAAATGCAAATCAAAACTACCATGAGATATCACCTCACTCTGATCAGAATACCTATAATTAACAAGACAGGAAACAATGTGTTAGAGAGGATGTGGAGAAAAGGGAACTCTCATAGACTGCTGGTGGGAGTGCAAACTGGTGCAGCCACTATGGAAAACAGTATGGAGATTCCTCAAAAAATTAAGAATAGAACTACCATACGATCCAGCTATTCCACTGCTGGGTATTTTCCAAAGAACATAAAAACACAAATGCATAAACATACATGCACCTCCATGTTCATTGCAGCATTATTCACAATAGTCAAGACTTGGAAGCAACCTAGGTGCCCATCAAGGGATGAATGGATAAAGAAGATGTGGTACATATACACAATGGAATACTACTCAGCCATAAAAAACTATGAAATCTGGTCATTTGTGACAACATGGATGGACCTTGACAGTATTATGCTAAGTGAAATGTCAATGGGAGAAAGTCAAATACCATATGATCACACTCATAAATGGAAGTTAAAAACAACAACAGACAACCACATAGAGACAGAGGTTGGACTGGTGGTTACCAGAGGGGAAGTGGGCAGGGAGCGGGGTGAAAGGGTTGATTAGCTACATGTGTATGGTGATAAACTGTAATTAGTCTTTGGATAGTGAACATGATGTAATCTACACAGAAATCGAAATATAATGATGTATGCTTGAAATTTATATAATGTTATAAATCAATGTTACCACAATAAAAAAAATTAAATTTTAAAAAGTAAAAATATAATGTTGAGTGACAAAAGACAGAATCTCAAAAATATGCTTTGTACAAAGCACTTATATAAAGTTCAAAATAGGCAAAACTAAAAAGTTATATTTATAAACACCTATTTAAGTGACAATGAAAAGCAAGGAAGTGATTATCATAAAACTTTTACCTTTAGGAGGAAGGAGTTTTGGAAGAGCTTCTGGGCTTGTGGCAACAGTCTATTTCTTGATCTAGTTCAAGAGTACTTTGATATATTTATAATTATTTGTCAAACTGTATATTTATGTCTTGAAAGCTTTTCATATTTGAGGTTTCAAAAAGAGGTTTATACAACAATTTTTAATAAATTAAGAGAATGCTTTCATTATATGAAGTAAAAAGAAAGGTAAATTTTGCATATAGAAAAAAACTGGAGAAAATATTTCAAAATGAAAATACATCAGAGATATGAAAATCTGCCTTATTCAAGATTTTCTTGTTCAAGTCTCCTTGGGAGATAAACATTTTTCTACAATGTAATAATATTTTCAAATTTAGCTTCACAGTAGAATTGTTTAGAACAAAACCTCTTAAGCTAAAATAGTGTTGATTATGAGCAGTAATGAAGTATCAAATTCTTTTTGAAAGTTCAAAAATTAATGAATCCAGGCTGGCCCAGTGGCATAACGTTTAAGTTTGCCTGCTCTGCTTTGGTGGCCAGGGGTTTGCCAATTCGGATCCCGGGCACAGATCTACACACTGCTTATTAAGCCATGCTGTGGCAGGTGTCCCACATATAAAGTAGAGGAGGATGGGCACCGATGTTAGCTCAGGGCCAATCTTCCTCAACAAAAAGAGGAGGATTGGCAGCAGATGTTAGCTCAGGGCTAATTTTCCTCAAAAAATAAGTGAATAAATAAACCAATTAACTATGCTCTTACCTGAGTCAGTCCAGCAGTGAAGGCAAAGGGGCTAAAAATACTCAAAATCCACTCCAAAGATGAAGGAATTTGTCTATAAAATGTAGTGAATCCCATACACCCCCAAAAGAGAGTGAGGAGAAACACAACCAAATTGGTGAGGACAGTTTTCTTTAACAACACACTCATCAGGAATGCTAAAGCTATCTGAAAGAGAGAGAAGACAACTAGCTGTGACATAGGTTTAATTCTCCGAGAATCATTGGCAGCACAATAAAATAAGGATCTCTATATCATAACATAAATATTTATCGATGAGACAGTGATGAAAATATTAAGGCGTAATTATGCTCAGTCCTTCTCTCAAACCCTTTGCAAAGAGGATCCTTATTTACACTCTCAAATGCTGGGCTTCTGTTATGAGGAAATGGTGGAAAAAGCTGAGTGAAGAGCCGAGGAAAGGATAGAAATGCACAACTAGAAAGATTGAAAGAAACTAAATTAATATATTAACCAATTTAATTAATAATATAATATATCTACATACCCTCTGCAGAAACACCCTGAAAGGTGGAAGAAATTAGAAGCTTTGGTTCAGAGGAGGAGAGTGGTGTAGGAAGTAAGCGCAAGGTGGGGTATTAGAGGGAGAAGAGATATTGTGAAAAGCTATCATGCGATGAGTGACCTTTGGGGAAAAAAAGATGGGTCTACCCCCTCAAGAGCATCCTCATTAATCCTCCAGAAAGGACTTTGAAATTTTGAGAGTCAAGATAATTGTTTTGATCCATCATTTCATTAATTCAGACCGGTATGCCAAAAAGAGGTCCAATTTTATTTGGGTTACATCATTTTCACATACCCGTAGAGATTTTCTCAAGCAAACACACACATACACACATACACACACACACACACAAAATGGATATGAAAGAAGTGACTGCAGCAGCCTGCTGAGACATCTAATTTTTGCTACATATAATTAAGATCTAAAGCAGAGAAAGTGGTAATAAATGTATGAACTTACCAAAGATAAGCCATATAAGAAAAAGAGTGTAAATATGACCATGAAGCCTGTCATGACTATGATTTGGGCAGATGTTATGATAGTTGTAATCATTATGGAAATAATGAAGATGAAGCCAGCATAGATCAAACCCCAAGAAAGCCTAAATAAAGACAAAAAGTTATTTCAATTATTTTAACTTATTTCATAAGAAGAAATATTTAAAACATGCAAAAATTGTCTAAAGAATAGTACAAGGATTACCTTTGTACCTGCCACCTAGATTAATAACTAAAATATTACTAATATTACACTGGCATGGCTGTGCAGGTGTCTACTAGCTAGGTATCAGCTCTGTATTCACAGATTGTATAAGTAGTATGGACATTGTATCAATAGTATCATCTTGTATGTATTCTTTCACAACTTGCCTTTATAAATCAGTACATACAATAGCATACACTGCTGTATAATATTTTGTGGTATGAATATATCCCAATGTTCTCCTGCCTATGGATATTTAGGTTGTTTCCAGTTTTTATTTCTAATGCAATGTTGCTAAGAACATTCTTGTACTTGTCTCGCTTGGTAAAATGAATAAAAACTTCTCCAGGGTAAAATTGCTGAATTAAAGGAAATAAAACATTTTTTTAAATCTTCAGCTTTATTGTAAATTGTCAGTGTTCTAATTGTAGAACTGGAAGGAAACTTAACAGCTGCTGATCCATCAAGTAACCATGGAAGCTGACCATTCTTGAGGATCCCAGCCAGCAGCACCTCCACCCTCTTGAGTAGTAGGAAATTGACATTTCATAACTGCACTAAGCCCATTCCATTCTTGCTATTTCTATTCATGCTTTCTTTATTTAAACTGATATAAATTATGGTACGCCCTTAAGTAGTTCACATTGTTTTGCTTTAGATGTGCTGGTAGCCACATTTTTGTGAGGTGGTTATTAAGAAGTAGTATTCAATTTTAGATCTGACAAGCCTGCACAGTATTTTAGTCCAAGTTTCTCATTTTACAGATGAGTAAATCGTGGTCTCTATTGCTGATTAATGGGCCTATTCAAGGTCGACAAAGCAAATCAATAACAAAGCTAGGATGCTGCTGCAGGCCTTCACTCAGTGCAAAGCTCTTCCCTCTACATAGAGCTGCCTAACTAAATAAGAATTCAACAGCTGAGGAGAACAGCAAACGTGCCGAAGTCAGGAACTTGCATCGATATGTCCCAGTAGAACGTGTTTACCGCTTATTTGATTTCTTTTCAAATTTTATGTCATTACAATGATTCAGGCTGTGTTAGAAACATCAGCATTTTTGAGAAAGCATACCACATTCCGCAGAATCCACTTCCTGAGTATAGATGGGAACTACTGTAGGTAGGAATTGAAAAACCTTAGGGTAAGGGAATTACAAATGAAGGAAATTAAAACATTACCTAGAAAAAGGAACTGGTTGCAAAGAGCTGAGGGGATCTGGGGAAACGTTAATAAACCTAGGAAAACCTTCACGATAAATACAAAGCAATTCAGACATCACACTTGAAGAATAAATACTGATTACATTCACATTTATTACATTAGTAAAAAAAAGCCTGTCATAAAATTTATTTCTGATAGACACCCTGCACTTAACAAAAATGTTCTAGAAAGTTTTTCCTTCTGAGTCTTAAGAATATACACATAAATTCATTTTGCTAAGTTTTAGGTCACATGTATACTAAGAAGCATTTATCCTGAGAGTGAATCGACATCTAAATATCCAATATCTTTCTGATTTTGACCTAGAGTTGACTTGTGCCTACCTAGTCTCAGGCGACTGCAGGGATGCTGTCCCACCGGACATGCCCTGAACTGAAAGACAATGCTTTTTACACAGATCCCCTCTCGCTTCCCTCCTAACACACTCCATCCATTCCTTTCCATTTCCCAAAGTTCCACTGCAAAACACTCTTTTCCTTTCTTTTTTTATTTCAAGACAGTTTCCTCTTTTATCTATTTTACAATTGATGTGTATTCGAATTAGAACTCTCTCTGTTAATAAAATATACTTTAAAAAAAGTTAGAATTTCTTAGCCCATAATTTTACTTCAGGAAACATGTGACTTGCAAAGAATTATTCAACAATTGTTCCTCATCCATTCCACATAGTTCCACATTTATAAAGAGTGTTTTCTTGATATGGGGAGTATACAGAGAAATACCTCCCAGGATTCAATATCAAAAAATGTGAGATTTCTTTTGGGGTTAAAATAAACAAATTATTTTTCCTTTTTTCCTTTTTTTTAGTATAGATATTACACCTGATTATATTGCAGAATTCTCTGCTTTGGCCTCCTGGAGGCTTAGAGTTTGTATGATTTGCATTGTTATCTGCTAAGCTTATTTATTATTTTGTTAGGTCTTTGTTTCTATTCCTCAATTATTTGTTTTTATTATAACAAATACACACATAGATACATACATATACATGTGTGTATGTATATATAGAGACATATATTTCAAAATCACTTTAAATCATTTCTGGAGTGAGGTAAGATATAAGTATGTCAATATATGAAGCAAACGCTCTTATTAAGCTCGTGCTACGTGCCATCCTATGTGTATATGCTGGGAACATTATGTAGCCTATCTTATTTAACTTCAATGTATGGTATTCAGTTGCTCCAAAAAATATAGCGCTGGTGACTAAACCTCTGAATACAAGCTAGTCATTATAGGATTATATTTTCTTCAACATGAGGAAATCTCAAGAAATCACGTGATAACTGTGGGCGGATTCATGGCATCTGGTTTGGCGTCCCAACTCTGGCACTCATCATCCATTTGACTTTGAGCAATTCTTTTATTCACTTTGTTCTTAACAGCTCCTCTGTCACAGCATTGGCTTAACATACTCATGGCACAGAAAAAATGCTCGGCAAATCATAACCACTATTTTGCATGGAAGAATTTAACAAAGACTAAATCAAAAAGTCAGAACAAAGGAAAAACGTAGCCAGCATATCAGGTTTCAATCATAATGTTCTGAAACAACAATGCTTTTTCACTGCTTCTTAATTTTTCTTATTCATTTGTATTACTTGAATCGGTCACTCACCAGAATGCTGAATCTTGTAGACCCATCATTTTCATTAAATCCTTACTCTTTTTTCTCTCTTTTGTAACACTGAATGATAAAAAATATATAAATGGCGAGAAGTAAAGCAAGCAGCAGAAAATAAACATCTCATTTTGAAGGATGTTTTTAGAAATAAAAGGTAATGTCTTCATATTTATAGCAGTAACTGACATCAATTCCTCCATCACAGAGTGATTTGTCGTGATCTAAAGAAGGGTTCAAACAAACAAAATCATTATTTAAAGTAGAGAAACGTGAAATCAATAAGCTACGGGGATTGTACCAATGTCAACTTCCTGGTTTTAATATTGTTCAATGGTTATGCAAGATATTAGCATTAGGAGAAATTGGGTGAAGGGCACACAGATCTCCCTGTACATTGTTTTTGCAACTTCCTGTCATTCTGTAACTAGTGGAAACTTTAAAGCTAAAAAGGAAAAGCAATGTGTTCCTTTGCCTAAATCCAGTTTCAGCATTTCTATACCTGCTTCATTATATAAACATATGAAAACCTGAGTATTTTTCATCTTTCACCAAAGTCTTGATGCTTCTGGAATTAGTTTACATTATTAGAACTTTTCTTACTTCTATAATAGCAGCATTAATTGCAGCTTGTAAAGTCACGAATCCTCTATTCCAGTATTTGGCCAGTGAACATGAAAACCCGTAACGTGTATCCCAGCAATGAGCTGTGAGCACAAAGAAAAGCATAACCAACATTATGAGATGAGAGTAATTGGAGAATAAGAAACAAGAATCCAAGAGGAAATAGTATAGACAAGGTTCCAGTAGTCAGAACTTTTAACCACTTAGAAAAAAGAAGCCAATGAAAGTTCTTAACAAGACAATTTTATTCATGGAGACCATAGCATGCATAGGAAGTCTTGAAAATTGAAAAGAAGATGAAAGAAAACATTCTGTTCCAATCATACTGAACTCCTTGCTGTGCCCAAAATGCCAAACACTCCACTGCTAAAACTTTTTTGTGCTCAAATGCTCTCCCTCCAGATGGATACCTGGCTCACTCCTTCCCTCCATCCTGATCTCTTTTCAAAAGTAAGATTATCATAGAGGTCTTGCCTGGCCATCATAAATAAAAATATCTAAAATAGCTCTTTCATCTCTATCTTCTACCCTTGTTTTATTTTATTTTGTTGCTTTATCACCACCTGGCAGAGTACATTGTTTTTCTCCTATGCCCGGTCCCTGCTTAGAATGATTCGTGCAAGCAGGTTCTGTATTTTGTTCACTTCGATCCTCAAGGTCAAGAACACTGCGAGACACACAATAGACGAAGTGAATGAATGGAAAAGAACCAATGCTATCAGTCACATCAATTCTGTTTCCTAACGGGTCCTCAAATCCCTTCGCCTCTCTCCTTCTCAGCTGCCTCCACTCTGGTGTAAGTCACCATCAGCTCACTAGTACATTTCGTGGCATGACTGACTCCTCTGCAATCCATTCTCTGGGCTATATATGCAGAGTGCCCCCTTAGGCCCTGCCCTGATTAAAGTACCTAATGGCTCTCCATCACCCTAGGTTTACAGGATGCCACGGGATCTAGCCCTTGAGTGCCTTTGGCCTCATTTTCTCATCACATTCCTTTTCGTGTTCTCTATTCAGTTTTACTGCTCTTCTTCCATATATATCAAAAGAAGCCCCTTTTCACATCGGGTCCTTCACACTGGCCTTTCTTCTGTCTGAAACCCAGTGCCTTGAGCATCTCACATGTGCTATTCTCTCTGATGTTAGTTTAAACATCACATCCCCACTTAGGACTTCTCTAATCCCACAGCTTATTAGGAACCCCTGGTCTAAGTCCCCCCAAGCCTCTTTCCTTGCCCTTGTCATTAACTGTTCAATATCTGTCCTTCCTGCTAGACTGGAATCCTCACCTGAGATTGGGACCTATCAGTCATGATCACCTTCTGCATCCTTCACAGCATACACCTGTGAGCTCACTATGTATATGTTGGATGACTTTATGATTTTTTGAGCATCATCCTCTAGCGGGAAGATATGACTGATCTTGGAATGGGTTCAGCAATAAAATGTGTTTTATTTTCTCATGTGCCATTGAAAGCATCTCTGTTGCCCATCCTGACCTGTTCCTTATGTTAAAAACATGAAAAATGCCATAATGATATTTTATATGGAAATTTACCTGAGAAAACTTCTTCCTTCAAAAATGGAATGGCATATCCCTGAATAAATTTTAACTTATAAGAGAAAGTGTCATTAAAGATGACTCCCACTACATATGGGAAATTGTCTAAAAGTAGTTCATCAATATGTTTTGGATTTGGTGCCCCAATGACTCTTCTTCCTGTGAATTACAATGTAAAAATAGACATGGAACATTGTTGAAGCATTTCACCAAAACAGAATGTGATATAACTGTGTCCTCATATATTTTCATTGGAATTAAAATCATTTTCCATTTAAATTAAACTTATCCCAAAGGCAAGAAGGGAAATTTTATTTTAATGTTTTAGGTTGTAGAAGCAGGAGACATGCATAAGTGTTTCCTTTTATTAAAGACAGGCATTGGGGCAAGTTTTAGGTACATAAAAAGATTATGCCAGGATATGTATGCATAAGATAATTGGTGCACATAAGAAATCAGAGTTACTGAAGCAAAGGAAACTCATATGATCTTTGCCTTATGCAGGAATCACAAAGTGACTCTATTTTTAATACACAGCAATTTCACCTGTTAGAAATTGAGGAATCAAAAGTAGATAGTCAGACCACATCCAACTTACCCATGAGTGAAATACACGCTTTGTTTATCTCAGTTACATAGCGACCTCATTTAGAATGGAGGCCTTTAAAGATGTTTACAAATTACACTAAACACAGACAGAATATCTTTAGATTATCCATTTTTACTTTTCATAGTTCTGAAATTATTGTTTAATATCCATAACTGAATTTCTTCTGTTATCATGTTTTTGCCTGAGTTATAAATCTTAATCATGTGTTTCCATGTTAAAAACACCCACATCCACCAATGGCATATTCCTCTTAGGCACTATTCTGCAAATCCAAAATTACGAACCTATAGTTTTAGTTAAATTCCAATAGAAACGTAGGCCTGCCTAAATTGGACCCCCATCAAGCTGAAAGGGTTTGAAAAGCTAATTGTTTTGAGAGAAAAAAAAAAAACACTAACCAAATTTGTATGATATCTTGATACCTAAATAATTAGCATAATGGATCACTGTAACTTCCAATTAAACATGTATACATCTTATCAAAAAGATATAAAATAATATCAGTAATTCTTTTTTTGCCATCAGTACACCTACCTTTCAAAAAGGGAGCAAGTGCCGTTTTATTCATTATCTGCTGAGTTATATTGGAGATCGGTGTATACACAACAATGATTGAAGAGCTATTAAATTTATCTACCCTTCCAAGATCCTGAGGAGGCATTTCAGGAAAATGCCTATTTTCTTTTAAATTTGAAAATAGGCCCATATACAGTCCTAGAAGTATTGGGAATCCCCATTCCTATAACACAGAAAAAAAAATTAGATTGTATTCCCTTAAGAGCTCAGTCAACACCAGAGAACTGTTGAGGACAAACTCTAATTTTGCCAGACAGTTGGATTCTCTTCGCTCTCCACTCTTCAGAGCAAAGGGAACCCAATGAAAGATATGAACTGAGATAGCTGCCACATATATTATTCTCCAATACTAGAAGTAAACTTTTTCGTTAAATCAAGAGCTGCTGCAGGAGCTACCGTAGAAACTAACAGGATGACTAACAGGATGACAATCTCCATATGCACAGACATCTGACTCTAGAGCCTATAAGAAACAGAGAATCTCAGATAGAGTTCATGGTGGCAAATAGCAACACTTTTGTCAGTTGTCATATCCTTGTGTTGGAAATCAAAGAAAATGAAAAGGAACTGAGTGGTAGAGACTGTTTCACTGATAGCAGTAATCTCTTCCCGCTTGCCACAATGGTAGACTACATTCCCAGTCTGGAAATTAAGTGAGACCAAGTGATTGAGTTCTGACCAGTGGGACGTGGGCAGAAGTGATATGTGCCACTTCAAGTCCTGGCTCATGGAACCTTGCACAATTTTCTATATTCTCTCCATCTCAGTTGTTCTACTTCCTGATCTTCTGACTGAATGCAGAGGATCCAGTGGCGGTCTCCAAGGCCTTGGGGGATGGCAGAATTTCTAGAGGAAGGCTGGGTCCCTGAATAACTGTGTGGAGAACATTCCTTCACCTTCTAACCCACTTCACTTTCACTGCCAACCTTATTCAAACTGTGAAAAGAGTGAAAAATAAATCTTTGCTGTGTTAAGCCAGTAAGATTTGGGGCTATTACCTGTAGACAGCCCACCTACCTAATTCAAACTGACAATCAGTCCTGTTACTTGGTCATAATTCCTGGAAGTAATCTCTGTGTAGAAAATTCATGGCCTTGAATATAAGTCCCCCAAAATCAAAATTCCTCCATTTCTGCTCAGCACTACTTATATTATTTCTTGACTATAAATATATTATGCGTAAATTATAGAAACTTTAACAGTTGCTGTAAGTTACATATAATTAAACTTTCACTTAATCTTCTTTTTTTAAAAATATGAGTTAATATTTTTACTCTTTACAATTTTGTTATTTTTCAGAACTGTTATGAGTCTCTCAATTCAACAGTTACAACTAGAGATGACCTCAAAATCAATAAATTCATTCTGCAACTTAAAATACAAAATAAGAGAATCAGTAGGCAATGAAATAGAATAGTGCTAACCGCAGAAGAAACAAACTTTCAAACGTACCCATGCGCTCTCTCTTTTCATCCTCCATTTCTTAAGAAAATTTTTGCACAGAAGTGCTTGAGTTTGTTGATACACACTTTTCCGTTTCATATGCATTTAGCCTGTTCATTAAATAAACGAGGAGAAAGTAAACATGGTGGAGAATTAACTAGAAAAATGAGTGTAATAAGGAAAACTTTGAACATCTTTTTAGGGAAACTATTTCCTATCTTTAAGAACTGCAAAAAAATGGATTTAAAGTATTATTTCAATAGTTCACGATTTTAAGATTTTTACATCAAATATACTCCCTGTAAGCTATTTGGGAGAGTGGGTAATGGTGGGGAGGTAGAATGGCTTTTTTCACAATCTTACAATAACATGGAATATTACAACAGAAAAAATAACAGTAGATTCCAGAACTTTTAAGATACTTCATATTTTTGACCTTTTATAAAAACATTCACCTATGTGAATAGAGTAACTGAATTGTATCTCATCCAATTAATAATTTCTTGTTTTTTGCATTTAATGAGAACTCCCAGTGCTAATCAAATTAGCATCAAAATTCTGACTACTTAGATTCATCTGAATAGTTCATTATGTCCATTAGATGTAACCCCAATGAAATGTTTTTTTATAGTATTTACCTTCCAGATTGGACGAAACAACTTATATCAAGAGTTAGGCTGTGAGATAACAATCCAGATTCAAACTTGAAAGTTGAGTCTGAGACACAGGAAGAACAAAATTATTTATCTCAAATTATTCAGAAGTCCCTGAATAACTGAGAAGACAAACTACAAAGTAAGTTTAGAGAAAAAAAAGACAAGGAAGAAAGAAATCACATAGGAAAGTAATTTTGCCTGAATGTTTGCACATAAACCAATGGAGACAATTTTTTTCAGATTTTATAAAATCAAAATTAGTTATCTTAGATTTGCATATCAAATACTCAGATAATTCTTGCTCAGCTAGCACAGAAGTAAATTTTTCTATTTTTCTATATTCTGTCATTGTATCTACACAATAAAAGATGGTTGGGAAAAAATTTTTAAATTTCACTATAAAACATAAATATTTGGAAACATCTGAAAAGTAAATTTATTTTAGCAGTGTCCATCCACATATTTGGCATAGCACAACAAAACAGAGCTTTACTTACTGTTAGGAAAATTACAAAAAGGACCCTGGAAGCACTGTCAGAGCACAGTTCTCCTTTCGTCTAACGCAACAATTAAAATTTCTTTATTGCACTTCTTCATTTATTCCTTAAGTGGGTAACTATTCCCAACTGCTCTGACCCAGGCTGGTTTCTGAAAAGGGATGTAGTCAGACCAGGCTGCACATGATGACCTTGTTTTGTTTTCTGTCTTTTTTTCCCCGAAGCCAATTATTCTGCAGGAAAATGACTGCTCCGTGGCTGGTTGGGAATAAAACAAGCCCTGTGTTTGTGACTTGGCCTTTCAACTCCAGGGATAAGGGGAACAATGGTAAACAAGGAAAACGAAACTAGCCCTTCAGACAGGATGAGACCGAGATGGGGGAAGAGCAGTAAATGAGTAAAAATAATAACCAAGCAAAGAGTTAATCTGTATGAGGAATCTTTAGCTGTGTTTTCCTTTTTTTATTTCACTACTAATGCCTAAACGCAACTGTCAATGATATACTTGGCTAATTTAGACCAAAGGGGCAGAACACGCTGGAGCTGATTTTTTTTTTTTTTTTTTTTTTTGCCTAATAAAGCTAAGCAATCCACAATCTGCCTTGCAGAAACACCTAAGTTGGACAAATGAAGAATTCTAAACAAATTCCTTTCTCTCACTCTGTTCATAGCAGATGCAGGATTTCATAAGGCAAATGAACAAACAAAAAGTAAGTGAATTGCTAAGGACTAAAAACATATACAAAGATTCAGGTCAATTTTTATGCATGAAACCTAGGAAAAGACCCTGAAATTTATTCAATTCCCATTGCATAGTCTATGTCTCTCTGTAAAGAGTTGCAAACATTTCTTGACCTGCCAAAGTAAATGGCAAAACAGGAAACCAAAGTCCATGAATTGGGAAATCTCAAATATTTGACATGGCTCCCAATCCACAGATGTTAATAATCATAAAGCTGAGAGATGTTCTGGAGAAAAGGGGGATAATTTTTTTAAAAACATTTAAAGCCATGATACTATATACATAGATTTCTCTCCTTGGTAATTAGTTCTATTTTTAAAAATAGTCAACAGTGAAATATTACATGTCTTTTACATTAGAAATGGCCAAAGCAAAGGTAATAAAGATGTTCTAAACGTCTTATAGTAGGGGGGAGGGTAGAAGGTCATAAACACTGTTACAATTTTGTATCAATAATAGGTCAATGGTCCAAACAAAAATTCTAAGTTTTTTCAAAATCACCTGGAATATAGTTTGGATTTTTCTTAATTTGGTTGTTGTTATTGTTGTTTCAGACCCTATATACCTTATTCTAGAAGTCATTTTCACTCTGCTTTTCTTACAATTGCATTAAAATTCACAACTACAATATCAAAAATTATTTAGATTAAATATATTTTACTTGTTTCACTTCTTATCATTGTTTCTTGTGTTTCTTTGTATTCCTCTTTCTTGACTTCTTTACTCTGATTTATTTTTATTTTCAGGGTCATTTCCCTCATTTAAACCTGAGGATTTCCCCCAAATTTGACCCAATATGAATAATGAAGTGCCTGATCTCCAGCTAGAAGCACATTGAAATGGTGTGTAAAATATATCTAAAATAGAAGTTCAGTTATATAACCAAACTTTAAATAAGGAGAAAAAAAGATAAAGGAAAGAAAGCAAGAATCAGTGGAAGACACAAAGAGAAAGGAAGGCACACTCTCAGGTGTTAAAAATGAAAAGGGAGGGGCCAGCCCGGTGGCTGAGTGGTTAAGTTCGTGCACTCTGCTGCAGTGACCCAGGGTTTCACTGGTTCGAATCCTGGGCATGGACATGGCGCTGCTCATCAGGCCATGCTGAGGCAGCATCCCATATGCCACAACTAGAAGGACCCATAACTAAGATTATACAACTATATACCAGGGAGCTTTGGAGAGAAAAAGGAAAAAAATAAAATCTTAAAGAAAAAAAAAATGCAAAGGGAGGGTCTAGCCCAGTGGTGCAGCAGTTAAGTTTGCATGTTCTGCTTTGACGGCCCAGGGTTCACCGATTCAGATCCTGGGTGTGGACCTGGCGCTGCTTGGCAAGCCATGCTGTGGCAGGAGTCCCATATATAAAGTAGAGGAAGATGGGCACGGATGTTAGCTCGGCGCCAGTCTTCCTCAGCAAAAAGAGGAGGATTGGCAGCAGACGTTAGCTCAGGGCTAATCTTCCTCAAAAAAAAAAAAGAAAGAAAAAAAAAGAAAAGGGAAACTAAAGCCAGAACTGTGAGTGGTATGTCAGAAACCCAGCAGTCCAAAGCGGTGTTTTAATAACCCAGTGACCTGGACTTGGTGCTTGACAGGATGCAAAGCTGGATTTCATATCTCTGCTTGAATCCAGAGGCTTCACAGGACTGTTTAGTGCTAGAAATAGAGATTAGAAAAACTTCACCAACTACCCCAAGGAAAAGAAAGGATGTGTATTCTTCGCCCAATCTCTGAGTTAAAAATTACATATCCTCCACAGAAAATGAAAAACTTAAGCATATGTAGCACACATCAGATACAGGACACAGGAGCGGGATCTGAATTTCTTTTCCCTGCATAGCAATGTGTCTAAGCACAATATCATTGCAGTTAGTACATTCATTCTGGAGCCAAACTTGGGTTTGAATTCTGACTCTGTCATAGCCATGTGACCTTGCACAATCTATTTAAACTTTTCCTTCTCTCAGTATTTTCATCCATAGAAATGGAGATAATAATAGTGCCTGTCTAAATAAGGTTATTGTGAGGATTAAATTTATTAATATAAGATCATAGAACAATGCCTAGAAAATTGTAACGGTTCAACAAATGTTACTTATTGCTGGCAATCTTCCTCCTCCTGTTCTTCATCATCATCATCATTGTCCTCCTTCTCTTTCTCCTCTTGTTACTACTATTATCCTGGATCCCCACAAAGAACATACAAACAATTCTATAGAGATATGTCCAGAATTCAGGGCAAAAAGCAACAGAATTAAAAAGAAATATTCCTCCTAGCAGCTAAGCTTATAATCAAAGGCCCACCATAAAACAGAATCAGCAGACCAAAAAGATGGGACTATTAGCAATCTCAAGAACCGAAGATGATAAAAATTATGACTGATTATAAAATATATATCTAAAGTATTAAAGAAGTAATATAAGCTAGTTAAAACAGGAGACAAGGAAAAGGAAGACTAATAGGTAAATTACCCATTAGAACTTATAGACATTTAAAGGGATTAATAATAGTTGGGATTAAAAATTAATGGATAAATTTTATATCACATTAGATACAGCTGAAAAGAAAATTAATAAAATAGAAATATATCTGGAGAAACAATATAAAATTTAGTGCAAAGACAGAACAAGATGAAAAAATATTGAAGCGAGGTTAAACGACATGTAAGATAGAATAGGGGTGTCCAGCGCATGACTAATAAGCATTTTATAATAAAGAAAATAAAGGGAAAAATAAGAGGAACGTTCAAAGATAAAATGGATGAAAATTTTCTGGAATCAAAGACATGAGCCCTCAGATTAGAAAAACAGTGTGTCCTGTGCAGAGTTAAAAACAAACAAAAATCTTTTTGTAGCGGATTTCTAGTTTCACATTGTTGTGGTCAGAAAAGATGCTTGGTATTATTTCCATCTTTTTAAATTAATTGAGACTTGTTTTGTGGCCTAATGTGTGATCTATCCTGGAGAATGTTCCATGTTCATTCAAAAAGAATGTGTATTCTGTGGGTTTTGGATGGAATGTTCAGTATATAACTACTATGTCCATTTGGTTGAATGTGTCATTTAAGGCCAAGGTTTCCTTGTTGATCTTCTGTTTGGATGATCTATCCATTGGTGTAAGTAGAGTGTTAAAGTCCCTTATTATAATTATGTTACTGTCTATTTCTCCTTTTATGTCTGTTAATAGTTGCTTTATATATTTAGGTGCTCCTATGTTGGGTGCATATATATTTACAAGTGTTATATCCTCTTGTTGGATTGTTCCCTTTATCATTATGTAGTGCCCTTTGTCTCTTGTTACAGTCTTTGTTTTAAAGTCTATTTCGTCTGATATAGTATTGCAACTCTGTCTTTCTTTTCATTGCCATTTGTATGGAGTATCTTTTTCCTTCCCTTCACTTTCAGTTTGTGAGTGTCTTTAGGTCGGAAGTGTGTCTCTTGTATGCAGCATATATATGGGTCTGGTTTTTTTTTTTTTTTAAAGATTTTATTTTTTCCTTTTTCTCCCCAAAGCCCCCCAGTACATAGTTGTATATTCTTCGTTGTGGGTCCTTCTAGTTGTAGCATGTGGGATGCTGCCTCAGCGTGGTTTGATGAGCAGTGCCATGTCCGTGCCCAGGATTCGAACCAACGAAACACTGGGCCGCCTGCAGCGGAGCGCACAGACTTAACCACTCGGCCACGGGGCCAGCCCCAAGGGTCTGGTTTTTTTTTTTTTTTTTTTTTTTAATCCATTAAGCCCCTCTATGTCTTTTGATTGGAACATTTAGTCCAATGACATTTAAAGTAGCTATTGATAAGTATGTAGTTATTGCCATTTTGTTACAACTTTTTTGAGTGTTTTAGTAGTTCTTCTCTGCTCCTTTCATTTTCTCTTGTCTCTTGTGATTTGATGGCTTTCTTTAGTAATATTTTTGGATTCCTTTCTCTTAATTATTTGTGTATTTATTATAGGTTTCTGGCTTGTGATTACCATGAGGTTCACATATAACAAGCTATGTAAATAAAAATCTATATTAAGTTGATGGTCTCTTAAGTTTGACCTCTTATTAAAAGCCCTATTCTTTTACTCCTCTTCTCCCACATTTTATGTTTTTGATATCACATTTGACCTCTGATAAGGGGTTAATATCCAAAATATATAAAGAACTCATACATCTCAAAAACAAAGAAGCAAACAACCCGATTAAAAAATAGGCAAAAGATTTGAACAGATATTTTTCCAAAGAAGATATATAGATGGCCAACAGGCACATAAAAAGATGTTCAACATCACTAATTATTAGAGAAATGAAAATCAAAACTACAATGAGATATCATGTGACACCTTTCAGAATGGCTATAATTAACAAGACAACAAATAAGAAGTGTTGGAGAGGATGTAGAGAAAAAGGGACTCTCATACACTGCTGGTGGGAATGTAAACTTGTCCGGCCACTTGGAAAATGGTATGGAAATTCCTCAAAAAATTAAGAATATAACTGCAAGGTGATCCAACTATTCCACTGCTCGGTATTTGTTTATCCAAAGACCACAAAAACATGAGTGTGTAAAGACATATGTGCCCCTATGCTCACTACAGGATTATTTACAATAGCCAAGACTGGGAAATAACCTAAGTGACCATCAAGGGATGAATGGATAAAGATGTGGTATATACACACAAAGGAATACTACTCAGGTATAAAAAAAGATGAAATATTGCCATTTGCAACAACATGGATGGACTTAGCAGGTATTATGCTAAGTGAAATAAGTCAGATGGA